CATTGTTGCTCATCATGTTGCATTTGGTGCTGAACAGGTGTGCAGACAAGGCCCTGCGCAGCATGCTGTACACCCACATTCTTGTCGGACATCAAGCGGCTGAACCGCAAGAAGAAAGAACAACTCCGTCAACAGGTACACACATGAATACACAAACACACGTGCGCATACACACACATGCACACACGCATGCACACATGAGCACACGAACAATCAACGCAACACAGCAACACACCACACGCATGTTGCTCGCATGTAACTGTTGTGTGGTCTTGATCCGCCATTGCTCACTAGCCAATGCCTCCGTGCCCGTGGTTGCGTGCGTGCGTGTGTGTGCGCGTATCTTGCCTGCTTGCCTCTGTGCAATACGTTCTTTTCCCCCCCCCCCCACTTTGTTAGATCACTGCAATCGTTCATGTACACGATGCTGAAGGACGACAATATCACAGCGGCACGCCGCTCCCTCGACATCATGATCGAGGTACGAACATCATCCCCCGTCTGCTGTGTGCACCCAACTCGTGCGCGCGTCTTGACTGCATGTGTGTGCCAACTTGTTGTTCGTCGTGCAGCATTCCTCGTACCCCACGCCACCCCGCTCCATTGTGCCTGAAAGTATAACTGCCAACTCACGTCACCCCTTGCACGCGTCGCTTTCCGATTGCAACATCACGGCACGCCCCTTCTCCACGACAGCTGTACATCAAGGGGGTGTGGTCGGATGCGCGGACGGTGAATGTGATTGCCTCTGCATGCCTGTCCAAGCAGACGAAGCTCATGGCGCCTGCCCTCCGCTTCTTCCTCATGTACGTAAAGTACAACATGCTCACAACAACCCGAGTGCACCCACAAACAGTAGAATCACGAACAAACACACACACACACATAACACACACACACGCACAACCACAGCACAACCACAGCTCACGGTGCATTGCTGCGATGTTCTCTTATGCAGGAGCAATGAGGAGCTGCAGGCGGCAGCGAGGGGCGACAAGGACGAGGAAGGCGGTGAGCACCGAGAAGAGAGGAAATGGGTTTTGATGATGATGATGATGATGTTGTTGTTGTTGTTGTTGTTGTTGTTGTTGTTGTTGTTGTTGTTGTTGTTGTTGTTGTTGTTGTTGTTGTTGTTGTTGTTGTTGTTGTTGTTGTTGTTGTTGTTGTTGTTGTTGTTGTTGTTGTTGTTGAAAGCACGCAAACGTCACTGCCGTGGCTCAACTGGCCCATCACATGCTGTGCGATGACCCTATGGACTGCAATAGCTGCTGCTGTTGCATGCTCCCTCATCATTGTCTTGCGTGTCTTGCCTTGCTTCCTGCGCACTGTGCACTTACACCTACCCCCCCCCCTCCTCCGCCTTGTCAGATGAGCGCCAGGCTGAAGAGGACTACAACCGCGTCCTGCACGCAAACTCGCACGCAAAGAAGACGCAGAAGCGCTCCGCCCGCCGCAACAAGGTGTGTGTGTGTGTGTGTGTGTGTGTGTGTGTGTGTGTGTGTGTGTGTGTGTGTGTGTGTGTGCGTGTGTGTGTGTTGCGCGTGTGTGTGTGTGCTGCGCGTGTGTGTGTGTCGCTGATGCCCTCGCATATGTGACCGGGTGGGGCGCCCTCTTGTCTCGGCTACGTTACTCGTCTCACGTGCATGATTGCTTCAATGTGTGTCGGCCCTTGTGCGTGCGTGTAGGCGCTGCGTGCACTGCGGAAGAAGAGGAATCATGAGAACAGCCCCGAGTCGTTCAACTTTGCCGCCATCCACCTCCTCCACGACCCACAGGTCAGGCCTTTGGCATGTGTGTGTGTGTGCTTCTGTTTCTTCAGCGCGTCTATGTGCCGACCTGCGTGTCTTGCCATGCCTATTCCATCACTGTCTGCGTGCACCTCGTCGTCTCACCGCACGCCTTTGCATGCGAGCAGAAGCTTGCCGACCAGGTGTACCGCCGCCTTGTCGCCGCCAAGTCTGAGCGCTTCGAGATTCGCCTCATGATGATGAACTTTGTCAGCCGTCTCATCGGCATCCACGAGGTCAGCCTGTGTGTGAGCTTTTGTGACTGTCTGAGTGAGTGTGTGTGTGTGTGCGTGAGAGAGTGTGTGTGTGTGTGTGAGTGTGCGGGTGTGTGCGGGTGTGTGTGGTTGTGCGGGTGAGTGCGTGAGAGAGAGAGTGTGTGTGTGTGTGTGTGTGTGTTCTTCTTTGCGAGGTGATGCTCTTGTACACATGCACACCCACACACACACGTACTCGTTGATGCCAACAATCCCCCTCCTGTTGTTTCTCTACTGTGCAGCTTTTCGTGCTGGACTTTTACAGCTTTCTCCAGCGGTACCTGCACCCACACCAGCAAGGTTCATCCCACAACCCGGCTGCTGACTTCCACCAATCTCTGCTGCACTCCGCTGTTACACCACGCAGCCAACTCTCTACTCACTCACACACACACACCTACACACACACACTCTTACCCACACACACACACACACACACACACACACACACACAGAGG